ATGGCCTGTACAACATGTACTAGGGATAATCTCCTGAGAGAAAGACAAGAACTACGAGAAGTCCATACATATAGAGCTCTACCAATATTATATTTACATAGTTTCAGGTGAAATTGTGAAAGGTGTTTCAAAAAACAACAAAGATTTCACACAATAAGTTTCCTTTTTTTAATTTTAAAATGCCAGCTTCAACAGATTATGACCTGAAAGCTATAAATATAGAAAAAAAAAAAAGGAAACTCATTATGAGAAATCTGTACTTTTAAAAAAATAATAATATACAAAGGTTATAAGATACTCTCCTTTTTATATACACTCGTGAACAAAACTTAAAGTAGAAAGTCTGTTGTTGCTGGTCGTCAATTTTTTTTTTTAAGAAACAAAGGCAATTTAGTTCACACTTGGTTATTATGTGTGTGTCTTCAATAAAGTTCACTGTTATCAAAATTCGAAACTATTTTAAACGCGTAAGATTCTTTTTGAAATTAAACAATTTCTACTGCCCTTACTGCAATGGAAAAATTAAAGGGAGGGCCTGGCTCATCAGTGGTGAACCCTCCCAGCTGTTTCTCCAATTTAATCTACCATACCGCTGTTATATTGCATTTTTGGAACTTCCTTTTATAGTGATACTGTTGCTAGACTCTTGGAATAGGTATTTTAGAAGAACTATGGATATAAGCTTTGAGGACAGTAGAATTACATATAATTATAAATTATATATAATAATAATTATATCATATTACAAAAGTTCACTGTAATATCTTTCAGAGTTATTGTCTCAATCCCGATATACATGCTAAAAGGTACAACTTCCTCAAGTTTTGTCTATGTCTGTATTTAGTCCTCGTTGGTTAACTGTCTATAAAGCACATGCTCTCCCAATGCCCTTTTTTCTCAACATACAGTACGGACTACCTCTCGGTAAAGGATGAAACCTAGTTAGAGTGTCCTTTAGGGAGAGGTATTTTTTTATGATGAAAACTGTCTTTTGTAGAAAGCTATCCTCTAGTGAGAGTGTCCTCTCATGGAGGATGTTGTACTGTATTGGGATAGCTTGAGTGATTCAACAACAAAACACATTTATATTAAAAAAAAAAAAAAGGCATACCTGGATCTCAAAATATGAAACTATTTTAGACGCGTATGATTCTTTTTAAAATAAAATAATTTCTACTGCCCTTACTGCAATGGAAAAATTAATGGGAGGGCCTGGCTCATCAGTGGTGAACCCTCCCAGCGGTTTCACCAGTTTTTCCATTGCAGAAGGGCAGTAGAAATTATTTTATTTTAAAAAGAATCTTACGTGTCTAAAATAGTTTTGAATTTTGATAACAGATGGCGCGCTAGTGCATCGTAATACCTGAATTTGTTAAAAAAAAAAAAATTTCTCAAAATATTTGGAGGAATTTCTCCTTCTTTATCAATTTATTGGTCAAAACGCACAATGATAAAGAGAGAGCATTCTTTTGAAATATTTTGAGATAAAAAAAAAAATTTGCACCTTTTTTTCATATCTATATATTGTAAAAGTTATTTGCAAATAAGTTATACATTATTTCTTTTATTCTGTTTTATGCAAAACTAACTTTTGCATATATCACTATTTATGTTTGACATAGTTAAGATCGTTATGAAAAAAGACATCTCCTTATCGTTCAAGTGAAAGTTGCTGATGGCTTGTGCCATCTATCGGAATAAATATCAACTATTCTCGTTGATTTCTAATTATTCCAGAACTGGCCAAATACCCATTCTTGATTAATTAAGAAAAGCTAACCATGAACGTCTTTCGGGCTGTTGGCCCTCATCGGCGTGGTGCAAGCTGTACCTCAACAACAAAAAAACTGGTCATTCAAGGCATCCTGAAAAATCATGAAACGGGTAGTTAACATTTTTTCACATTGTGTCGTGGTCTCACGCAATTCTGGCCTTAACTAGCCATTTCATAATTTTTCAGGATGCCTTGAATGACCAGTTTTTTGGTTGTTGAGGTACAGCTTACACCACGCTGATGAGGGCCAACAGCCCGAAACACGTCCGTGGTTGTTTTCTTGATTAATCAAGAATGGGTATTTGGCCAATTCTGGAATAATTAAAAATCAACGAGAATAGTTGATATTTATTCCGATAGATGGCGCAAGCCATCAGCAACTTTCACTTGCATGATAAGATGCCTTTTTTCATAATTATGCACTTTATCCCAGTACAATATCACATTTATACTATTTTTTCATAGTTAAGATCATTTTTTTCTTTTCTTTTTCTGCGCACTGGCACTCACTTCTGTGCAGCGCGTTTAGAGTTGTAACAGCAAATAAACTGACTTAATTTCTCTGGAACCTCCCGCTCATTATCTTTGTTACAATATTCAATGGATCGCCTTTTTTGACTCAAAATTCACAAACAGTTGGTGAGCCTTCGTAGAACCTAGGTAAATAGGTTGAATAACCACTTGGAGAAGTAGATTATCAAAAGAACAAAATTGTGAGATGAAAACCTTCTTGTGAGGTTGTTTTATTTAGTCAAGCTTTTGGACATTTCTGCCCTTCTACAGGAAGAAAAATAAGAACCTTATTCCTGTAGAAGGGCAGAAATGTCCAAAAGCTTGGCTATATAAATAAAAAATAACCTTCTTCTTTCTTATCTCCACTCAATCATATTAGGGTATCAAGCTTGTAAAGCTTGAGATCATGACAGGGTGAAGTAGAATGTGTCTGCCTTTGTCATTAAGACTGGGAGCACTACTCAGTGGCAGGCTGACTTAGCTCCAAAAGAAATGGCCGCCTCACAATCTTGTACTTTTGACAATCTACCCAGGTAAATGTAGGAACTCACCTGTAATGGCTGCATGGGATTCCAGGCTACTGAGGTGACCTCCCCCTGGTGGCCAACTAGCTGTACTACGGGGGGTCCTGGCTTGTCCACCTGCACAGAACATTCTTGCTATTGTGTTGATAGCCTCCAACAAGTTGGTGTGGCCATATGGACAAGTATTCGCCAAATTAGAAAAAAATCATAAGACTCTGCAACTCTTTGTATTTACCTAGATTAAAAGAAGCTTTTGGCTAAGTATTTATTCAGCTAACTAAAATGATTTATAATACACGGCGGCCTGTGATTGTAAAATGACACTTGAAGCTACACAGCATGAGTTTCTTTTTAACGAAAAATCAAATTTTTATTTCAAGGTGAAATATCGACTATTTCTAACCTTTTTGGATGAGGTATGAAAGGATGAATTATGATAATTTCATATTTTTAAATCAAATTTTTATTTCAAGGTGAAATATCGACTATGTCTAACCTTTTTGGATGAGGTATGAAAGGATGAATTATGATAATTTCATATTTTTAAATCAAATTTTTATTTCAAGGTGAAATATCGACTATTTCTAACCTTTTTGGATGAGGTATGAAAGGATGAATTATGATAATTTCATATTTTTAAATCAAATTTTTATTTCAAGGTGAAATATCGACTATGTCTAACCTTTTTGGATGAGGTATGAAAGGATGAATAATTCATCCTTTCATACCTCATCCAAAAAGGTTAGACATAGTCGATATTTCACCTTGAAATAAAAATTTGAATTTTCGTTAAAAAGAAACTCATGCTAGTAAATACAAAGAGTAGCAGGGTCTTATGATCCACAATCCTGTAATAATAAATATTCTTCAATTTAATCTGTTGATGACTATCACTTCCAGCAGCTCATTTAGTACCCAGTAGCTTTCTTAAACCTCCCCTCCAGCCAGCTCATTGGAGATCTTCCTTTAATTGTTCCCAACATCAACTTTAAAATTCCATTTCCTCTAAATATGTGTCCAAAGTTTGTCAAGTCTTTCATTATAAAAGAATTGCGGTTCTGATATATAACAAGAAAGTTTAAAACGACACAACTTTTATTTGATACACCCTGAATAATGACCATAGCATCTCAGAATTTGAATCTTCAATGTTCTAAAGAAGTATTTTCTGTGAATTTTCAGTTTCAGCACTTTGTCAAGTTCAATGACTGGTGGAGAACCCCTAACTCCCAAGAACACCAGCCAAATAACCCTTAAAATTATTGTAGTTCATGTAAAAAAAATGAAGACAATTTTACCATTAACATTTTCATTCCCCTTCTCATTAGATGCTATGACATAATCACGGTGATTGTATTTTGCTAGGAAGATATTGATCTATAACAGTCAACTCTCCTGTCAAAATATACACCCATGGACAACACTTAAGGAAGTTGTACCTTTTAGCACGTATATCAGGATTCAGACAATAACTCTGAAAGATATTACAGTGACCTTTATTGAAGACTTACAAACAAAATTTACGGAAGTTGTACCTTTTAGCATGTATATCAGGATTCAGACAATAACTCTGAAAGATATTACAGTGACCTTTATTGAAGACTTACAAACAAAACTTACGGAAGTTGTACCTTTTAGCATGTATATCAGGATTCAGACAATAACTCTGAAAGATATTACAGTGACCTTTATTGAAGACTTACAAACAAAACTTACGGAAGTTGTACCTTTTAGCATGTATATCGGGATTCAGACAATAACTCTGAAATATATTACAGTGACCTTTATTGAAGACTTACAAACAAAACTTAAGGAAGTTGTACCTTTTAGCATGTATATCAGGATTCAGACAATAACTCTGAAAGATATTACAGTGACCTTTATTGAAGACTTACAAACAAAACTTACGGAAGTTGTACCTTTTACCATGTATATCAGGATTCAGACAATAACTCTGAAATATATTACAGTGACCTTTATTGAAGACTTACAAACAAAACTTAAGGAAGTTGTACCTTTTAGCATGTATATCGGGATTCAGACAATAACTCTGAAAGATATTACAGTGACCTTTATTAAAGACATGTGAGATAACCAAGTGTGAACAAAATTGTCTTTGTCTTCTTAAAAAACAAAAAAGATAACATTGACAGTTTATACCCCTCGTCCACCGAACCCCCAAACTAAGACGCCCAGAAGGTGGAATAGAAGCACTCAGCTTCTAAGTGGCTATTGGTTTGAAGCCTTGAGCCCAGAACACTGAAGTTCATCTGGGCACCAGTGATATCAAAGACTTTCCACTTCCTTAAGTTTTGTCCATGAGTATAGATGCTAAAACTAAGTGCCCTCTATTGACGGTCTCCATTGTATATAATCCCAGCAGGACAACAAGACGAGGTGCCACTTACCTTCCAGATGTAGGCACAGCAGTCACTGGACCCTGATGCCAGGAATTCTCCATTAGGGTCCAGCTCACACTTGACAAAGAAGGACTGGGACAGATGTCCGTAGAAGGTGGACACTGGACATCACACTCAAGTATAAACCCCCACTATACTCAAGTCTAGATAGTGAAGTCAACATGACAATAGAGCAGGGGTCGGCAACCTGCGGCTCACAAACCACATGTGGCTCTTTGGATGTGAAGCTGAGTGTAGTACTCGCAGAAATGAAAAAAATATTTATGAGAGTATTAATTATTGTTGGCAAGAAAACATTTTGTGGCTCTTTAAAAACTTTAAAATTTTGTAAATTTTAATTTTTGACTCTTCCAACTCAAAAGGTTGCCGATCCTCGCCATAGAGGTAAACTTCTGGTAGATTGAAAGTTGTGACAAGAGGGTAAGTCCGTTGAGATTGTTGTTGTGTGGTGCCCAATGAAGAGCCTTAGATGTATCCACGCATCTCTATCACAGCATGTTCTGTATCTTGGGTGTGTAAAGCTGCTGTTCTGGGTCAATTTTTTTGTTGTTGTTGCTGGGTCCAATGAAGAGCCTCATATGTCTCCATGCATCTCTATCACAGCAGTCGCAATGTTGCTCTATCTTAGGTGTGTAAAGCTGCTGTTCGGGTCCATGTCAATTTTCTGCAAGGCTGCGGGCATGAGAATATGTGGGTAGGTGTTAGTTCCACACCAGGACAGTTGTTACATGTACTGTAGGTTCTTGTGGCATCTGGATGTACTGTCATTCCTTTGTAATGTTTCATTATGAGTCTTGTTATAGCGTCATAGCGGTTGTGTCACTGCTTCTCTATACACCATGGCCAAGATGTACATGTGGTGTAGGTAAAAAGTTTTTTTTTTTTTTAATACATAAGAAACACAAGGTAATAAGACCAAATATAAATAAATAGTGATTGAAGTTTCTGTAACAGCGCTATTACCATCATCAGACAAAAAACAGTACTTTTGTCTGATGATAGCAATGGTGTTACCAGAATGTCACACACTATTTATTTGGTCTTATTATATACCTTGTGTTTGTAATCTATAATCCAAATTGTACCTAATCACTTTTTAGACATATTTTTATTGGAAGCTTTTGGGTCTTTCTCTTTCTTCAACCTATAGTGTTAATTAATTATTTTTATAACTACAGGGGTTTGAGAAAGACTCGAAAGCTTCCAAAAAAATAAGAATGAAAAAAAATTGCAGCAAGTTATTTACAGAACTCACATCAACATAGTATATCCCACAAATACCAAAATTTCAAACCTATTGTAATGTAGTATCACTGCTTATTGTGTCACCTTTCATTGATCCCATATTATCAATTTTATCACATATCCAGTATGTTATAATGTGGTTAACACCCAGTTACAATGTTCTAACAAAGTCCCACACTTCAGTTATTCCAACCCCACAAAAGACACCTACCAGGTTCAGGAGAGCAGCTCACCAGACTGAACATACAGATCCTGTTGTCTGTGCTGCTGGCAAAGACATGGCTCTTGCTGGCGTTGAGACAGAGGCTGGTGTAGCCTGCAGCAAACCATGTCAACATACGGAGGGAGAGACAATCATCCCCTTATATTGAACTCCTCTAATAATCCCCAATAATATAAACATATAAAATGAAAGGATTTAAAAGCACGAATGTTTCTTTTATACATAATACAAACTTGTACTGCCCTTACTTGTCCATAGTTTTCTTGAAAACCATTTCTGAGATTCCATATTTCAGTGCTGCGTATATAAGCAGAATCGTCGAATACAGTATTAGAGCTCTGAGAAGCGGTCTGGAGGATTAAATTGGCGAAACCGCTGGGAGGGTTCACCACTGATGAGCCAAGCCCTCCCAATATATTTTATTATCGCAGTAAGGGCAGTAGAAGTTTGTATTATGTATAAAAGAAACATTCGTGCTTTTAAATCCTTTCATTTTATGTGTATAGATGGCGCGTTATTGCTTTGTGTTAATATAAACATGGCTGGAGTGAACCAAAGGTTCAGTCCCATTAGGGTTCGCTATAGTGAGATTTGTGTGGTGTTGCTGGAGACCCGTGGGCAATATTCCAATGTACTTGGTGGCTGTCACCTTGTACATTAATCCTTCTATGTAGCATTTTATATGCAAATTTTTCACATCATCATTGGAATAGAGAGAGTGTATTTACACGATGCATTAGTGTGCCATCTGTTATAAGAAATTTGAACTATTTTTACACGTATGATTCTTTTTCTTTAAAAAAAAAAAAAATCAATTTTCTACTGCCTTTACAGCAATGAACTGGTGAAACTGCTGGGAGGGCTCACCGCTGATGAGCCAGGCCCTCCCATTTATTTTATCATTGTAGTATGGGAAATAGAAAGTTGATTTTTTTTTTTTTAAGAAAAAGAATCCTATGCGTCAAAAATAGTACAAATTTCTTATAATAGAGTAATTGTACATATACTGTGAACCTATGTGATTGATAAGATATCAATAAATCAATTTTTGAGTGTCTACAGTGGCACTGTACAAGGCATTAGCCGCATGCACCAGTATAGAGTATTTAAAGAAATAATAGAAACAGTAGCTAAAACAAAAATAAACAAGAAGTGGTGTATCCCACCTAAGCACAGCTGGTACAGTGGCATGAACCCAGGAGGAGCTCTGAACCTCAGACAGCATCAAACAACACTAGCAAGATTTATAACAGGCCATCTCAAGCAAAATCGAAGATAGAAAACAATAAAATTTATCCCACTTGCCCAATATGTAGCTTGGCACCTGCAGTTTGGCTTGCATTAGATGCACTAAACAGGACCTTTGGGAGAAGCCGCTGCTTATCATCAAACAGCCCAAGGAGCATGAACTCATGGAATTTGTGTAATCTTTGCACAAGGGGATAAGAAACAAAAACAGACTCCAGGGTGGGGAATTTGATAGAAGATTCATGAAAGCCTACAAAATGTCACAAAGATTTGGTAAAGTGGTTAGGTGAGAAGATAGCGCTTAGTTTTAGCAGTGTTAGTTGGTGAGGTTGAACATGGATCACTATTCCATCTCTGGTTAGGATTGGGAGAAAAAATGGTCAAATTACTCATTCCAAGTTATACTGATTAGAGGCATGGAATTCTGAGATGGGTTTCATCTAGGATGACTCACTTTGAAAGTAAGAATCTGCAGTCCCAATTATCAGGAGTCCAAATAATTAATGGTCCCAATTATAAGCAGTTTAAATTATCAACAATAGTTAATAGCTTAATTATCAATAATCCCACATTAGTCTATAGTTTCAATTAGCAGCAGTCCCAATTATCAAGCTTTTCATCCAAATTTGAAGGATTAAGAGTGCTTTGCAAACAAATTTATGTTCCTTGATGCTTAACTTTCATGATCCAAATAAATAGCGGTTATTGTATGTGAGAGAGGGTTTTATAGTTTAAAACCAATACAAGATCAATCTAGGTATAAGGGACATAGTAGAACATACCATGGTCTCTGTAGCCTTTCTGCCGAGCATGGATAGATGCACAGGGAAGTGGTTCCTTTGACTTGAGGTAGGTTTTCCGCAGGTCCCATAGCTTGATGGTGCTGCACACAGATAACTTGGTGATTTTGAGGTAGGATGCCATTCTTATAAGAGTTAACTGTAGGGCCATAGACCAATACTATGGTATACAGGTTGGTTTTCAGTCTGAATGCGCTAGTCAAACCTGATGTGATGATCCACATGAATATTCACACTCCTTATAAAATCTCTTGTGACATCTTCTTCTTTCTTATCTCCACTCAATCATATTAGGGTGTCAAGCTTGTAAAGCTTGAGACTTAACAACCATCATGACTGGGTGAAGTAGAATGCGTCTGCCTTTGTCATTAAGACTGGGAGCACTACTCAGTGGCAGGCCGACTTAGCTCCAAAAGAAATGGCTGCCTCTGACATGAGGAACAGACGCCATGTGCAGCCGCTCCTAACATCGAGTACAAACGCTGCTCATCCTGTATCCCTGGATTAGGAGCCCTTACAGGGTACTATCAGCCGGGCCAGCTGAGCCCAGGTTTTTTACCGAGCTTGTTACTGCTCCCCCTCCTCCTTTTTCATCTGGGCTTGGGACCGGCAAAGGCGGAGTTTCTGGTGGCATGAAAATATGAAACTTCCACAAGTTCTGTGTCCATGAATGTATATAATAAAGCAATTAGTGAGAATCCGCGGGACACACGTACCTATCCGAGGCTCCAGAAGATATTAAGGTCTCGTCAGACTGGAAGAGGACAGCTGTCACTGACTTGGTGGGTTTCTGGGACGGACATCTGGTCAGGTTTCATCAGCATGTAGGACATCAACAAACTTACAATATCCATCTGGAGCTTCTTCATCTTCTTCTTGCACTTGTAGCCAAACATGTCGTGGGCACTCTGGATGATGTTGACTGGCTGGTAGGAGTCCCCTGGTGGTGGTACAGACATTGGTCGGACAAACTATCTAGCTGGGAAATTAGCACATATGATGAGGACTTACTTCACTGTCTACTTGTGAACATAAAGGGTGAAATCATCATCATTATAATAGGATTTATTTTTTGCTTATCCCTAGTACATGTGGTACAGGCCATGATAATCATGGTGATAGAAGTAGGGGACTGCTTTTACTGTAAGTGCACCACATGTCTACACATGTGAAAAGCAGTTTGACTTTTGCATTTACAACTGTGCCGTTTAGTTACTTGCACTCACTGGTGGGGTTGGACTTTTTCAAAATTCGGGGGCCATTGGAGCATTTTTTTTATATAATAGGATAATTATATATAGTAGAACCTCCCTGTAAAGGACAACACCTAATTACAGAGC